TCCACACACCTGAGGCAACATCAATGGTTCATTCCACGTACCCTCCTCCCCCAGAACAGGGTGAAACCCTCAACCTTTCACACCAGCTGTCGACACACTAACTGTGAGGCTCGGGGTGCCTGCCGAGCACAGAGCCCTCCAGTCGCAGCAGGTCTAACTGGACCCCTGCATTTCAACTCCTGCTGGCCACATTGTGACCAAGAATGGAGGAGCTGTAGGGAACTGAGCAGGAAGGCCACACAAGGCTGGGGCAAGAGCTCCCTCAAGAACAGCCAGCCGCCTGCACAGAGAGGAAACAGGAGGTGTTGAGAAGCGGGAGCCTCGGCCTGGCAGCCGAGAGCCTAGGCGCTGTCACAGGTCCTAACTCGGTCTACTCCCAAGAGGGCCTTCCCGTCTCTTGCTGTCACTGCTCATGACCAACCCATGAGGCAGGGCGTTCTGAATTCAACACCACTCAGACCTGACAACTGCTCACCACACCGTGCCCTGGCCCCCAGCAGTTATCTCAGAGATTACCGTGGCCTTCCAGTCTGGGCTCCTGCTCTTCTTATCCCCACTTCCATCTCTCCCATTCTGATCTCCAGGGCTCTCATGTTGGCAACATGGTGACCATTCTCACACGCGCCTACCTGACTGCTCTTCCACATTTAGTGGCCAGCATGCTTCCTTCTTCCTACTCCACTCAGGCTGTTCTGGACTTCACATGCAAGCCAACACCTTGCATACGATACCTGATCACTTCTGCTACCACCATGACCAAGCCACAGACACCAACACTGGCTGGACTGTCTGTCCCACTGGAACACTCCGTGCCTCTGACGCATGGCTCTCAGAGGCCCTTGAACATCTCACTGTTTCCCGCTAACTCAAAGGGATGATGCTTTCCATGACACTTGGCATCCAAGTCAAGTCTTCCCAAGGCTGCTCAGGGACCTTGCCCTTGTCACTCCTGTCTGTTTAGCTTTAGTTTCTGTCCTCTCTAATACACCAAGCATGCCTTGGGGCCTTTAAACTGGTTTTAGTTTCCTGACAGAGATGTCCTTCCTTAAAGAACACACGGCTTCCTCCCTTTTGGCCTAGGCCTCTAATGCTTTCCTTACCGTCTCTGTCCCCAAACCAGTGTCCATGGCTCATCTCCCTGGCATTTCATTGACATCTACCTTGTCCCTGGATGCAGGTTTTGGAACGACAGGGGTACTTGTTGCTGCTATAGCACTGCCCCCCAACAGTGCTCACAAAGTGGCAAGCGCCTGCGACTGGATAAATCAACAAGCAGTGAACAGGAACTGGGTTCAACCAGGACTTCATGCTTCCTAGTAACAGGAGGCTCAGTCTCACTTGGCTCGACAAGATGCTGGATTCCCTGGGAGCGAATCAGAAGCAAGCTGACTCCACGGCACTCCACTAGTACCACCAAGGACTCACTCACTCATCTTGCCAAGGAAATGGGCTAGAACTACATTCCTAGAAGGTGGTTAACAATGCTTTCATTCACCTGCCCACCATCTCTTCAACATCTATGAAGAACTTAATTCCGATAAACTCCTTGTTGATATTAATGCTCGAGTACTCAGGACAGACTAAGGCTAAGGAACCTCGCAATGCTTCAGGGATATCTCTGTGCCTTGATTCTTCATCTGTAGGATGGTCACAACACTATTTAGCTGGGAGAGAGTCAAGTAGCGATCCCATAGTTACACGACGTCACCATTGAATGATTCTGGAAATACTGCTTTACTTCAGTTAGCTATTGCTAGTAGCAAATCATCCTAAAACAGTGTCATAAAATAGCAATTGTTTATTTCATGATTCTGGAATACGAAAAAGGTTCAGGGGGTGTGTCCTGAGGAGGACTCAAGTCTGTTCCAGGGTAGTGCCAGCTGGGTCAGACGGTCCAGGAGGTCATGCACAAACCTGGCCCAGCTGCAGTAGGTGAGGCAAAGACTAGACCTCTCTCTATAAAGACGGTCAGGGCACCAGGGTGAACGGAGAAGCTGACAGACCCATGAAGGTCACTGGGCTCAAGTTACTGGCCCAGTCATTACTCAAGAGGAAGGAGACTCCCCATCTTGAGTATAGACAGCAGAATAAAGACTGTCTTTAAGTGTAGCCATGGTAACACCTGTCCGGAACCTTTTAAAATTTACAGCTGGGCCTAGAGAGTTGGCTCAGTGGTTAAGAGCACTTGCTGCTCTTCCATAGGACCTGGGTTCAGTTCCTAGCACCCACACAGTGGTCCATAACTATCCCTAACTCCAGTTTCAGGGAATCCAATGCCCTCTTTGACACTAGGCATGCTCAAGGTTCAGACATCCTAGAGGCAAAATACTCATACACATAAAATAAAACAAACAGAATCCCAACACAGCTAACCTTGCTTTCTGTCCTGCTGTTTAAATTCTCCTGCAACTCTCTGTACATAGATAGTGGGGTCTTCCTGACCCCTTGTTTCACCTCAGCCTCTGGGTGTCAATCATCACATGCATACTTCTTTCTGGATGGAGCTGATGCCAACCCCATGGGCTGGAATCTCTTACTTGGAGCCAAAAGTACCTATCAAGTTTTCCTTTGATGCTCTTGATCCTGGTCACTTCCCATAGCTGTGCTACCTGACGGAGCCCCCACCTTGAGATTGAGTTCTTTCATGGCAGAGACATACCCTTTTTTCTATGTTGTTTCCACATTGTATACTGCAGAAGCAAAATCCCTGCTGACTGCCTTGAGCTCTCAGAAATGTTCATCTGTACAGAAGGGAATGAGTGAAATCCCCAGGAAGCTGGAATCCAGATCTACACCCTGCTGGTGCCACATAATCTTCTGTGTGGGAGAAAAAGCATAAACTGACCCAAATGCTTGCTTCCAAGGAGTTCAAGGTCTCCTGGAAGGGGAGGTGGTTGGTGACAAGATACATTTCAGCATGTGCCAGCAATATGCCTGACCCAAGGAAAAAGTTAAAGAAGCAAAATGGACAGGGACGTTAGAAGGATGAATAGAAGAGTGGTCAGGCTGTGCTGTCTAGACACAAATGGTGCAGGCAAAGAGAACACCATGCACCAAGGTCCTGAGGCTAGCTAGTGTGGCTGAAGCAGAGGCAGATGATGAAGGCCCCGCAGGTCATGGAAGGATTGGGCTTTCACCCTGAGTGAGATGGTGTCTAGGAGGATTCTCAGCAGGGAGGGACAAGTAGGTGGTGAGAGTTTCTTTGGTTACATGGGGAACGATGAAGGCAGGAAGACCAATGAAGATGTCATAGACGTTCACCAGTGTGAACTCTGAGTACCCTGGAGACACCCAAGAAGGTATCAGGTAGTCAGTCAGTCTGGAGCACAGTTCTCAACCACAAACAGAAACGACACCCCATGCCCATTCTACATTCCTCACAGGGCCTACACGATTGGTCCTGCTGAGGTCTCCAGGCTCAAATGCACTTTGCTAAATCAATTTGGACTGGTAAACACACACACACACACACACACACACACACACACACACACACACACACAC